TCAGTTGGTCGAGTGCCTGCCTAGTGCGCGGTGGTGTCTGCCCCAAATCCCAGCACTCAGAGGTTCGGGAGTTTGAGGTCATCCTGGGCTACTTTGAGCTACATGAGACTGGAACAGAAAATGAAATGGCTAAAGAAACAGCACAGTGTGGTAGTCATCCAGCATGAGGGAGAACTCCGGTTCAACCCCTGCTGGAAGGACAGATACAGGACAAATGAAGACAGTGCTTTTTTAAAGTGCTGGGGATCAAACAGGAAGCCCTGCTCACTCTGGACAAACACTGCACTCCTGAGTTACAGCTCCAGCCCCCAAAGAAAATTTTCTGGGTCATGGGACAACTTTAGGACTTGATTTTCTTCTTCCAGTGTGGGATCTGTGGCTCACACTCAGGTTGTCAGGGTTCTGAGGCGAGTGCCTTTACCTGCTGACCTGCTTTCTTTTCTTTCTTCCCTTCTTTTTTCTTTTTTTGTGGGAGCTCATGTAGACCAAGTTGGCCTTTTAGGGGAGAATTATATTGAACCTTCAGCCTCTGCCCCTGAAGTGCTTTTGGGCTGTGTGTGCTGCCGACACACCCACCTCCAACTTCCATACTAAATAATCTTTTGTTGCTGTTGTTGTTTGTTTTTTTCTAGACAGATTTCTCTGTGTAGCCCTGGTTGTCCTGGAACTCACTCTGTAGACCAGGCTGGCCTTGAACTCACAGAGCTCTGCCTGCCTCTGCCTCTTGAGTGCTGGGTTCAAAGATGTGCCCCACCACCCCACTTCATACTAAATAACCTTTTTTTTTTTTTTAAGATTTATTTATTATGTATGCAGTGTTCTGCCTGCATGTACACCTGCACTCCAGAAGAGGGCATCAGATTTCATCAGAGATGGTTGTGAGCCACCAGCTGGTTGCTGGGAACTGAACTCAGGACCCTTGGAAGAACAGCCGGTGCCCTTAACCTCTGAGCCATCTCTCCAGCCCTGTAGTAAATAATCTCACCTGGGTAAAGCTCCTGTAGAAAAGCGACCTCTCACCTCCGCTTTAACACTGTTTAGTGTTTATTTATTGTGTGTGTGAGCATGTGTGTGTCACAGTGCAACGTGTGGAGAAGACAAATTCTAAGAATGACTTCTTTTTTTTCACTTTGTGGGTCCTGGTTTTTTGTCTTTTGAGACAGGGTATCTTTGTGTAGTCCTGGCTGTTCTGGACTCGCTTTGTAGACCAGGCTGGCCTCAACTCACAGAGATCTGCCTGCCTCTGCCTCCCAAGTGCTGGGATCACAGGCGTATACCACCACCAGCTAAATTCTTTATCTATTTTGTACTTATGTGTATGTGTGTGCCTGTGCAAATTTATGTATCTCCAAATGTGCGGGAGCCCATAGACGCCAAAAGAGAGTGTTTGATAGACCTGCAGCTGCCTGTGAGTGGGGGCTGGGAATTGAACCTGGGTGTCTGTGGAGCAGCCACTGCTCTCAAGCACTGAGCCATCATGCCAGCTCCCTGTTTGTAGCTATTTGATACAAGTCTGACTATGCAGCTCAAATTGGCCTTGAATTTGTGGGTCCTCCTGCCTCGGTGTCCGAGGTGTTGGAATTACACGTACATAAATGCCATCGTGCCCAGCTTCGCCACAGTCTCACTGTGTACCCCTGGCATACAGGATGGCACTGAACTCACAGAGATCTACTGGCCTCTGCCTTCCCAATGCTGAGATTAAAGGTGTAGGCCACCAAGCCAGAAGGTGGTTCAAGGCCAGCCTGGTCTACAGAGTGAGTTCCAGGATAAACAGGGCTACACAGGGAAACCCTATCTCAAAACAAAACAAAATAACAAACAAAAAAGGTGTGCACCTCCACACCCTAAATAGCTTTTTTGTTTTAAGCATTTCTTTAAGACCAAGAATAAATACCCTTCCAATGAGCTCCCCATCTCCACAAAGAAGTGATGGATAGTTTAGAAATTAAAAAAATAAAACTGTTATTCTTTGCAGATGTTTTGTCTTACAAAAAAAAAAAAAATGAAGTAGAATAAAAAAAATTCAAACCAAAACAACTCATGGAGAAATTGTGGGAGCAAATAGCTAATGGGAAAATTATGCAGGAAGGAAAAACATTAATACAGTTGAGACTGGGATTACCTCTGGTGAGAAAAGAAAGATAAATTACATTAGAAAAGGGATTGGTTGTAGCTTTAAAGCTACCAGATTTGTTACTTGTCACATTTCTAGTTTTTGTTTGATGTGTGTGTGTGTGTGTGTGTGTGTGTGTGTGTGTGTGTGTGTGTGGTTTTTTGAGACAGGGTTTCTCTATGTTAATAAGCCCTGGCTATCCTGGAACTCACTCTGTAGACCAGGCTGGCCTCGAAACTCACAGAGATCCACCTGCCTCTGCTTCCTGAGTGCTGTGATTAAAGGCGTGTACCACCACGTCTGGCTGTTTTCGGGGTTTTTGTTTTGTTTTGTTCTCTCTCTCTTTGTGCAGCTCTGGAAGCTGATATGTAGTCTAGGTTAGCCCCCCAAGTGCTGGGATTAAAAGTGGGCTCCACCACATAAGCTGTGACTATGCTTCTGTTTGTGAAGAGAAGTGTTCCTTTCTTATTCTGAAAATTCCCAGGTTGATTTTAGGTACCTGCTTGTTTATATGAAGTAACTGCCTATTTTCTCTTATACTTGAAGCTTAATGCTTATTAAGAAAAAAGGGGGGGGTGCCCGAGAGATGGTTCAGTAGTTAAGACCACCAGCTGCTCTTCCAGAGGACCTGGGTTCAAGTCCCAGCATCCACATGGCATCTCACCACTCTTGGAAACTCCAGTCCCAGGGGATCTGACACCCTCACACAGGCATACATGCAGGAACAACACCAGTACACGAAAGAGAGAGAGAGAGAGAGAAGAAAGAAAGAAAGAAAGAAAGAAAGAAAGAAAGAAAGAAAGAAAG